CCCTGCACTTTTACTTTGGGACTGCGGGTTAGATTCCCGATAGATCCCCCTGCAAATTGATGATTGGACACGGGAAGGTATCCCGGGAGATCCTTCGGATGTACATATATGATGGGCTACGGGATGGTATTCCGAGAGACCCACTGGACAGTTGAAAAGGAAAGGACTACAGGACGGTATCCTGGGAGGTCCTCTTGTTATCATTGGTATCGAGCGGTACATATTCCGTGTTTACTCTGTTTCCTTGTGTAGATGTTATTGTCTTACTTGACCTGTCTTATCTCACTGCTGTACTCATTATTTCTGTCAGATTTTCATACTGTTGATTATTATTATATTTTACCTCAGTAGGGCCCTGACCTTCCTCGTCACTACCCAACCGAGGTTAGGCTTGGCACTTACTGAGTACCGCTGTGGTGTACTCATGCCCTTCCTGCGCATGTTTTTCATGTGCAGATCCAGGTACCTCTTCTCAGGCGCACTATCCTTGAGGCGAGGAGATACACGGAGACTTCGAGGTATGTCTGCCGCGTCCGCAGACCAGGAGTCTCTATTTTGTTCCAGCTTTAGTATTTAGTTTATCCCTTTCTCTCAGTTGTTTAGATATTCAGGAGTTAGAGCAGCGTACTATATTTCTATTAGCCTGTGGTTCCAGTGAGTTTTCGGGTTTTGGGATTGAGTTGTAGACTTCCGCATTTCTTTTGAGTTGTATAGGCCGAGCGGCCTTATATGCAGTTATTATTTTTAATATATTTAGCTTTATTTAACCATTTCGCTAGTTAAGTTGTTATTTCCGCATCGATAGGCTTACCTAGTTGTAGGAACTAGGTGCCATCACGACATGTTCATGGAGGGTGAACTGGGGTCGTGACAGAGGTGGTTTGGTAGGCTTCGGCATCGTATGCGGAGTTCGGAAGTTTTGAAGTTCTTAGGCTTGAATCCGAGGGTGATTTGGTGCTTTGATGTTGTTTTGGGTGTTTCGGAGGTTCGACTAAGTTCGTATGTTGATCTGTGATGTGTTGGTATATTCGGTTGAGGCCCCGAGGGGCTCGGGATGGTTTCAGAGAGATTGGAAGTGGGATTTTGCAGCTGAAGCTGCTGCTTCTGATGTTTCCGCACCTGCGGAATGTGGACCGCAGGTGCGATGATCGCAGACGCGGGAGGCAACCGCAGATGTGGAATTTGTCGCAGGAGCGGAAGGTTTGACCGCACCTGCGAGCCCGCAGGTGCGAGGCCTGGGGCGCAAGTGCAGAAGCTGGGGAGTTAAGTGAAAACCGCAGATGCGGTGCCTTGAACGCAGGCGCGTGAAATAGGCCGCAAGTGCGGAAATGCCTGGGCAGAAGGTATAAATTAAACCCTTCGCGATTTTTTGCCCATTTCCTCCATTTTTAAAGACGGGATTGGAGCTTTTGGGAGTTTTGAAGAGGGAATTTTCGGGTTAGTGAGGAACATGATAGTGAAAGAGAGAAGAAAGGAAATCAGTTTATGACGGCAAAGGGGTTACTCATTGAGGTAAGATATTTGAGCTTAATACTTGTGATTATGGTAATTTTTAGTTGTTTAAGCATGAAATTGGTAGAAATTAGGGATGAAATTGAGGGGTTAGGGCTTGAAAATTGGAGAGTTTAATTTGAGTATTTGAGGGACCATTTGATGTCGAATTTTGATGATTTTGGTATGGATAGACTCGTGAGTGAAAAGAGTTTCTAGTTTTGTGAATTTTGTCAGATTCCAAGACGCGGGCCTGGGGGCTGGGATTGGGTGAATTTCAGGATTTTGGTCTAAATTGATAGATTTTTCGTGTGGAATTGACTCCTTGGCCTATATTGATTGCATTGTATTGCTTTTGGTTAGATTCGGGACGTTGGAGGCCGATTCCAGAGGCAAGGGCGTAGCGGAGTAGGATTTGGCTTGATTTGAGGTAAGTAACGCTTCCAAACTTGGTTCTGAGGGTCCGAAACCCCGAACTATGTGCTATATGATTGTATTGAGGTGACGCATATGCCAAGTGACGAGTGTGCGGGCGTGCACCGTGAGAATTGTGTCCTGGTTCATTCCATGGCACCGCTTAATGATTCTTTCTCGTTGATATCCGTGTTTCTATCATGTGATTAAGTAAATGTGTTGTAAATCATGCTAGATATCAGGTTAGGGCTTCACGCCGATACTGTTGAGACCCGAGTGGTCGTTTCTTGCTGTCATTTCATTTGATTCATTGATATTCTGTACTCAGTCTTATTCATGCATATCATATCATGTCTCAGTCTCAGTGGTTATTATCTGGCACATCATAGCATTGTTTCGGGCTAGTTTCATGGCATTTTGAGCCCGTGTGTGTGAGACTGGAGAGTGATGACTGAGTGAGGCCGAGAGCCTGATTATGAGTGACCGTTATGGGATCGGGCTGCACGCCGCAGCGAATATGTTGATGATTATGATAGCGCTTGGGCTGTAGGAGCCCCTCCGGAGTCTGTAACACACCCCTAGTGAGCGCAGATGATATTTGAGGGATGGATTTTCCTGGACATGGATTTGTCCGAAGCATTGATATCTGGAGATGGATTTCTCCCCAAGGTTGGATTACCCTTTTTCCTCGGTACCGAGTGACTTATAGTCAGCGATGAGTATGTTCCGGGATGGATTTCCCAGGGCCGGATGGCCATATGCGGTACCAAGTGGTTGAATGTGTGTGTGTGTGTGTGTATATATATATATATATATATTTACATATACCTGGAGATGGATTTCCCTGGGCCGGATGGCCATATGTAGTACCGAGCGGTTGAGCACTTGAGAGTGGGAGCACATGGTGCATTTCATACATTTCGCGCATTGGCATGTAGAGTTAGCTGAGCTTTATATCACACATTGTTCAGATATGTATTTATCTTACTTCTTGAGTTGTATTCTTATGCCTATTTTTTCTGCTCAGTTTATTTCTATAGCCTGTTGAGGTTACGTTCGTCACTACCTATCAGTCCATAGTTTGGACTTGTGACTTACTTAGTTGGTGTACTCACGTTACCCCCTGCACCTTGTGAGCAGATCCAGGTATCTCAGGCCACGGTAGCGGCTGTTGACTATTCCAGTCGCGGACTTCCACCGGAGATAGCTAGGTAGCTGCTTGGCGATCGCAGTCCCGCCTTTCTCCTTCTTTATCTTCCTTTTAGTATACTTTGGCTATTTTTAGACTATTTTAGTCTTGTTATATTTCAGAACAGTTGTAGTATTTGATCATGACTTAGTGACACCCAAGGTCGGGCTTTTATTTCCGCATATTGGTTTCATGTATCTCTTTTACGAAATTTTAGTATGAAAAGATTATCATCTAATTCTTAATGAAATGTCGAATCATTTTGGGAATGTGTCGGCTGGCCTAGTTCCATGATAGGTGCCATCACGACCGGGTTGGTTTTGGGGTAGTGACACCCAGCATATGAGAGCTTTTTTACTGTCCATGAGGTGACTCTTGTTACGATTCTATA